CTATCTATCTATCTATCTATCTATCTATCTATCTATCTATTTATCTATCTATATGTATATTTATAAAAGAATTCAACCGAGGCATATGCAGATCGCTTTATACTTGAGCTTTGCTTTCATCTTGCAGTTTCAAATGATTTGCATTATTAATAGTAGTTGTGATTTTAAAGGAATTAGGACTCAAACTTCTACAATTGGCTTCGAGAGAAAGCGGAAGGCCTTTATATGCGACATTGTTTATACGAGTTAAATACTGCTTGTGTTCGTCGCTGAGGATGGTTTCGAAGTATTTGTGATCTCTAATTACTGTGAGGCGTTGGAATTGGTGTTGATACAAACCTGTTCAATTATTGAACTAAAATGATCGGATATTGAAATGAGACAAATGTTCGCTTTCGTCAGGCGACTTTTCATGTTTGATCGTGAATAGTTCTGATTCAACCGTAGCACAGTTGAAGCGTTGCTCAGCTTTTTGGCCGTTCAGGTCAGTTTTCGATTGTTCTATCTGGAGAATACTTGTAGAAAACATCAACACAACACAGACATTAAACAAAACTATTTGTTCACACCATCCAATATGAAAAAGCTAATTTATTTATTCATTGTGTTGTTGCGAACATCCCGATTTGCTGTTACTCGCTTAATATCAGTGGACTGCCAACATTTAATGAGCTGACTAGGTTGTCCACGAGTCGATGTACTCGGTGTTCACTTACAAGCATATTCGGCAAAGTCTACGCACTAAAAATACACCTCGAGAAATGGTTGCGCAACATTCTTTACCGATACAAATTCAACCACAAATCCCTTAAAAACTGATTGACCACTGACACATTTAGTGACCATCGGAGAATCGGTTCGGTGGTTTCGAACATGCGATCCTTTGTAGACAGAAACAAAGCAAGCAATCAGAACAAGGTTGCACTGAGGGAACAATCCGAGGAGGTACGCACTGCTCAACTCAATCCAAATTCAATTCCGGTAGAAATACCTGACTATATTCAATGATTTCGATTTGGCCAACGTTAGTTTGGATTTTAAACTTGAAGCTTGAAATAAATTCCATTGGTGTAACTACAATATTATTCCAATCTTGGAATCTTCATTATATTCACCTGTTTTTAAAGCAATTTTGAGCCAATTGCTTCATTCACTCCAAGTTTGTTAACGCATTTCACTTTTCTTGATCGTTCTCTGCGGATCCCTAAACAGTCTGCCCATCAGCATTTTTATTTGTCTCTGATCAAAGCTTCAACAACGTTTTCGTCCCAACCTATAACTGCGATTGTTCCGGATGCAACTCAGACATACGTTGTTAAGGTTCTAAATAGCGTTTAGAAAATGGGGCTGGATTGCTTGCAGAGTGGTCTCAGCTTTTGTTTATACCCAAAACGAACAATCACTGTGGTCTGATTGTGTTTAGTCTGAACGCGAACCTATCCAATTAAAATGGAATACTTTGATTTTATAAAATTCGGTTGGTTTGATCTATGTTTGCCATCAAATGTGGATATGGGATAAAAGCATTTCCGGCTCTCTCTCTCCAAATGTTTGCTATCATCGGTCTGTCTAGTCTATCCGTCTATATATCTCGCATAAGCGGTATGCACTTGTTTGACACATAGTAAGTATCCTGTAGTGATTTATCTATCAATTAACTGGAGCAGGTTTATAGGTCATCGAGATTGTGATCAAAAGCTGTTTATCTACACGGTGTTGATATCCGGGAGATTTGCGCCAATCGATTCTTAAATAATCAGAAAATGCCTGAATTTAGTAACCAAAAGATCCATTGGACAAACATGTAAGTCTAGAAGAGAAATATTCCTGTTTAAAACTTGCAACTTTCGATCAGATATAAACCGAAAAATGGATGCTTTTCTAAGTTTCTATCAGAACCCGGTTGTCAAGTTTCTGTAGGAAAACAGTATGCCTACCTGACTGCATTATTTAAATTATTTTTGACAAATTTCATCAAGCGATTTAGCTTATACCGGAATAGAGTAATGAGCTGGTATCAAAGATTTATGTGCATCGCACGCGCCGATGAATTGATGATAGCCATTCTCACTTAGATTGTGAAACGGTTAGTCATATTACAGATACTTTCTCTCAAGTGCCGCTTAGTTATCCCAGGCGGCCGGCAAATTTCAGTTGCACACATCCAACTGCAATCCGGCACGTTTGTCTGGCCAGTGAGGATTGAACCCATAGCATTTCTTGTGCCTTCTTCAAATGTCTTTACCCCCCCCCCCCAAAATGCTACACATTCTAATTAAGT